ACACCCCGAATAGAAAGAGAGACAGAGAGAGAGAAAGAGAGAGAGAGAGAGAAAGAGAGAAAGAGAGAGAGAGAGAGAGAGAGAGAGAGAGAGAGGGAGCAGGCGCGTGTGTGTATGTGTGTGTGTGTGTGTGTGTGTGTGTGTTGGCACCGCTCGCTGTGGGAAGCCGTGCGAAAGGCCGGCGCGCGCGCGCGCGCGCGCACGGGCCCGTCTCCAGTCCTCCCCTACCACCCCGGGCCCATGGCAGGGCGGAGGGGAGCAAAGCCCCCCGATGGCGCGCGCAAATATATGCACATATTTAAATACACCCCTCCTAAGGTACTCACGAGCGGGGGTGTGAGAGGACACCGGGAGGGGGCGGAGCGTGCATGCTCCCCGTCTTTTAAGCTCCATGAATCTATTATCTGGGGGTTTCACTTGACCGCCGGGCCGCCGGATGGGGCTCTATTTAGTCCCGGAGAGTGTCTATCCGGCGTGTGCCTTTTTTCTTTTTTCTCCTTTTTTCTCCTTTTTCCTCCTTTTTTCTCCTTTTTCCTCCTTTTTTCTCCTTTTTCCTCCTTTTTTCTCCTTTTTCCCTCTTCCTTATTCTCCTTTTTGTTTTAGCCTGATGGTGTATTTTCCCCTCCTACCAAGGAGAAGCCTGGAGACATGAGATAGCAAGGAGGTAATGCCCACAGGGGGAGGGGGGAGGGAGAGAGCAGGCCTCCCCACGTAGTCCATGAGCGAGAGGGCGACGAGAGAGGGGGAGGGGGGGGGGCAATGCAGGGCCCTCATATTGCTTTCCCAGGAGCCTGTTGCCCTTGGGGAGGGGGAGGGCGTTGGAGGGCGGGTGGTGGAACGCGCCAACAAGCCAGCATTGAGGGGGGGGAGGGGGGGGTGGCGCATCATCGAGTGTGCCGCTAAAAGTACACAGCTAATAGTACAGGGGGTCGAAGGAGTGTGGAGGCGCGGGGTGGCATGTCCCGAGACGGCTTCGGACCCTCGCTCCCTTGGCCATGTCACAGAGACGTCTATATGTATACGAGGGGCGGCTTGAGGGAGGAGGGGGAAGATCGAAGGAGGAAAGGGAGGGAGAGAGAGAGAGCGAGAGAGAGAGAGAGAGAGCGAGAGCGAGAAGGGGGGATGGAGAAGGGTCGAAGGCATGGGCAGTGTCCGCATTGTGAGGAGAGGCCCCTGGCACGAGAGGGACCGAGCCACACGTGGAGCATGGAGGCCCGCTGGAATGGAGCCTGCCTCTGGGAGCGCGGGAAGGAATCGGGAGGGGGAGCCACATTCGAGCGAGATGCCTTCAGCCCCCTTGGTAGCCCGGGGCGACGGGTGCCGCCGGGGCGGTGGCATTCGCATGCCGGTGCTTCTGGAGGAGAGCCGCCATTTTGGACATGTGGGCCCGGTAGGCCATCCGCAGGGCTGCCATCTCTTGACGAAGCTCACGCATCTCGCGCGCCAGGGAGGCCACCTGTTGAGCCATCTCCATGATTGCCTGGCCTAGTGGGCTGGCCGTGGGTGCTTGGACGGGGCCCGGAGCAAAGGGGTGGAGGCCGGCCTCGGCGCCGGCCGCGACAAGGTCACCCGGGCATCCGGCTGCCCCGTGGGAGCTGGTGACCGGCTTGGCCTCGGCTACACCCGACAGCATGTAGACCGTCGAGTCGAGGGAGCCCGCCACCGGGGGAGAATCCCTTGGAGGTGCGGATGCTGAGAGGGCGCCCCCCCCGTGCACGGAGGTCAGGAAGTTGGAGCTCAGCAGGAGTCTGATCGCCGAGCAGGGCTGCCCACCTCCCGGCCGGGAATTCATGCACTGGGCGCAGGAGGAAAGATGGTTCAATAGATCTTGCACGCCCTCCGGGATGCTCGACGAGGGGATCTGCCCGGAGGCGACCTCAGACATTGGCACCAGAGGGGGTGGGGGCGAGGGATCGGCCGGCCCGGACTCGGGCCCCGGAGTTGAGGCGGCGTCACGCCTGGCACGCTTGGTCGCAGGTGCCTGATGGTCTAGATCCAGCCAACGACGCACACTTACCGGGTAAGTAACAGCAGAGACAGGGCCATAGGGCGAGAGGGAGGAAGAGCCGGCGGATGGAGGCGCGGCCAGCACAAGAAGAGAGTAGAGAGAGAGAGGGGGAAGGGGGCACATACGCTCTTCTCGGGGGGCGGACTGGCTGCCGGCCAGCTGGGCCTCGCGCAGATCGCACACTTGGCTGATGCGGACGAGCAATGCCCCGTCCGGCGGAGGAGTAGCACCGCGTTGGATTTGGCGCTCCGATTCGGTTACCGAGCGGAAGAACTTCCGCCGGAGGGCCACACCACTGCGGATGCATCCGCCGGCCGCGATGCGGGCCTGTTCCTCCAGCTGGTCCACCGAGGGGGGCGGGCAGCCGCGGCTGGCCGTGGCCACTTCCGCGTCAGCAGGCGGCCGGTGGATGTCGGTCAGAGTTCGGAGCTGCGCCAGGTCCCCGCGTATGGCCGCATTGAACATGTCACTGACGAGGGCCCACTCTTGGGCATTGCCGGGGAAGACATAATTCGCCAGCAGGAGTAGCAGCCGGACATCTGCCTCGGCAAACGGGGCCGTGACCATTGGGCCAGAGGAGGAGGAAGCCATCTGAGGAGCATGGATGTCAGGGCGACGACAGGGAGGGACATTGGGCCCCAAG